GTCTTACCAGAAGCCTAGAGGTGTGCCTGCATGCCATGAAGAGAGTCACCAAGCACAGCTTGATGTTCTAACTCACTTTCAAGTCAAAATATTTCCATCCCAGCAGACCTGTTGGAATCATTTCATAAAAGTACATTTGACAAGTAAGCCTTTGTTTGGGTTATTGAAGAACTGGGATAATTTGAATGTATGAATTTCAAATTTCTTTGGATAAAATGTTAAAATACTCTGTTTCAAAGTAGATTTTAAAAATTTTGTAGAATAAGGAATGTTAGGAAAGAGCCAAAAAGAAATCTTAACACCTGATTTGTCTGGTTTTAGTCTGCTGTCTGCATCCTGTTTGTCCTGACTCACCCTTACCATGGGCTGAGCCATAGGGTTCTCTCCTCACTCACCCACCACAGCTCTTCAGTCACTTCAGCCTGCTTTTCCACAGATGACCCAGATGCCCACAACCTTCACAGTTTGAGAGCTGTGTTTCCGAAGTTGTCCTCCACACAGCTCTTGTCTGTGAGCTCTTTCTCTACCTTTTAATGTCAGCACCCAGGTCACCCAGGTGAAAACTCTTCCTCACAATTAAATCTCCAAAATAACACCTTTTCCTACCTTAATACCTGCACTAAGTCAGATTTTTTTCCTTGTTTGCTTTTTCATTTGTTCTTTTTTTTGCTTCCTCTAATGAAGAGCCAGCTCCCCCCTCAAAACAAATTGTGTCTATCATTTAGTTCATTTCTGAAACAAATGGGACAATTTTTTATGCTTTAAGTAAAGAATAAATAACTGCACTAGTAAAAAATAATGTATGAAAGTATTCTGAACACATAAAGAACATATCTGATAACATTAAAAATGAATTACAGAAACCACAGCAGGGGAAAACAATCAGGCAAAATGAGAAATATATTCTGTTGTGGTCACATTTCATAAACAAATCAAATACCACAAAGCCTCATACCAAGGCTGTGATACACATATGTGAACCAAAGGCTATGAACTGTGTGGAAAAATTCATTTTTTTTCTCCTAGTCCTGTTCAATATTTTAGGGTCACAAGAGCTGAAGAAAATACAATGAACCACAAAGCTTCACTTACATCCTCTTGTTCACGTCCATGAGGACAGAGGAAGTTATTTGCCTATGTTGCTTATTTAATATAAAGGTATGTGTGAGTCCATGATCATATCTATGCATGTTTTGCTTCTGTATACAATATTGGGGATAGTAAGGAACATGGGACTTGAGATGTTTCCTGGTAGAAAAAGTTTGTCATGAAACATAGTTCAGTAGTAATTGGACACAAACACCCAGTGTGTTGGGAGAGCTTCAGTGTTTAGAGAAGTTGTATTTATCTCAGAGCAAGGTTAAGTTGAGGCTACAGCATGGAGTGAGCTCTCATAATGACCAGTTGGTGCCACTGTATTGTTTTCTGTATTTTGTATGTCTATTTCTTATTACTTATAATATTACTTTGAATAGTATACTCTTTCATGCCCGTGTACACTATGTAATGATCATAGCAAAGTAATTAGCACATGGGTCACATTAACAGTTTTTCATATCTTTGTTTGGAGAACATTCAGAATCTTTACTTCTAGATATCTGAAATAGTCTATGTAATAAGAAAAAAATTCTTTACCTCTTAATGTGAAACAAGACAACCCCCCAACCCTGAAAATTCCTTCCCCAACTTCTGATTTTCAAAACTCTAAAAACAAAACTGAGGCTAACTGACCTCACATATTACTAATATTAATTACTTCATATTAAATAAAGAGTAGCCATTTGCATGTAGCTTTGAGTTAGATTACCTAGTGTTAGGATGTGTGATATTTAGTTCAATTCTCAGCTGGAAAGGGAAGGCAGGGGGTGGGAAAAGATGAGAAAGCCAAGGGAGGAAAGGAGAGCAAAGAGGATAGAAAGAAAAGAACAGAAGGAGTGAGGAAGGAAGGAAAGACTTACCAAAAAAATGCGAAATGGTTTTTAAGATCCGGTAGTTAATGATTCCTTTACACCTGAATGTTTCTGATTATATTACTGTTTTTGAAGTGTTTATTAATTTTTCTCTTTTTTCATATGTCCTCACCTTGACAGGCAGTGAGAAAGCTCTAGTATGGTCAATGCCACCTTGGTGACCAGTTTCCTTCTCTTGGGGTTTTCTGAGGACCCAGAGCTGCAGACACTTTGTGGCCTGCTCTTCTTGCTGATGTACCTGGTGGCCCTGATAAGTAACCTTCTCATTGTCACTGTTCTTACCCTGGACCCACAGCTCCAAGCACCTATGTACTTCTTCCTGAAGAACTTGTCCTTGCTGGACATCTCCCTGGTGTCTGTCCCAATCCCAAAGTTCATCCTCAACAGTCTGACTCACAACAATTCCATTTCCATTCCAGGCTGTGCCTTACAGCTCTTTTTAATGACATCCTTCTCAGGAGGTGAGACATTTATTCTCACTGCCATGTCCTATGACCGCTATGTGGCCATCTGCTGTCCCCTGCACTATGAGGCCATCATGAATGATGATGCCTGTATGTTGATGGCAGGAGTTTCCTGGGCTCTGGCAGGGCTCTTTGGAGCCTTGTACATTGCTGGCACATTTTCTGGGCCCTTCTGTGGCTCCAGTGTGATCCCAGAGTTTTTCTGCAATGTTCCCTCCTTACTCAAGATTTTCTGCTCTGTCACATTTCTGGTGGTCTATCCCAGCCTGGGAATAGCAATGTGTCTAGGCCTGTCATGTTGTGTCTGCATTGTGTTCTCTTATGTTCACATTCTCTCCGCTGTGCTAAGGATTCCATCCAGGAAAAGTCAGTGTAAAGCTTTCTCCACTTGCCTCCCTCATCTCCTTGTCTTCACCATTTTTATACTAAGTGCATGCATGGTTTACCTGAGGCCACAAGCAGATGCGCCCACAGTTATTGATAGGCTGCCTGCTGTGTTCTACACTGTGCTGCCTCCAATCCTGAATCCTGTCATCTACACCCTAAGGAATGGTGACATAAAATGGGGCCTGAGAAGGCTGTTGTCAGCCCTACATGTTCACCAGAGGCCCTTCATCTAACACTCCCTCGTGTCTGTGCAGGACAGAGGCCCTCCAAGTTGGCAGAGTCTTCTCAGCTCTAACTTTGGGGAGGCCTGTGGTGCACATATCCATCTCTCTAGGAAGCAAATACCCAAGAGTCACTGATGTCAGAAGCTGCACTCCACAAGGCCAATATGTAGGTCATGGAGTCACCTGGCACTCTCTTATGACAAAGCACCTCTCCCTTGGTGGCTTAGCTTTCTGCAAATATTGGCTGTTTTTTTGTGATCAGATTTCATCTTGGATCTTTTATTAACTCATTTCTGTGTTTCATTTATTGAAAAAGAATGGAAATATTCAGGGCCAGGGATGTAGCTCCATGGTGCCATGTCTGCCTGGCAAGCATAAGGCCCTGAGTTTTATTCTCAGTACTAAAAAAGGAGGGAGCCACCCCCTAAAGAAAATAACTATTGAGACAGCACAGTGTGCCATATGTGGAAAATTCTGAACCATCGATGTTCAACATGTGCACATCTTCCTCAATAATCAGAATTCCAGTTGCTGAGAAATAACATCCTATTCCAAAGCCACCAGGAGTGGACAGCTGAGTTGTATCCTCCTACCCGGACTGTGGTCACACAGGTGGACAGTTTCCAGGAGGGCCAAGGGCACTTCCAATGCAACAGACCCAGGTGTGTCTTTGTGCCTCCACATCTATAATTCAGCAAGTACAGAATTTCAGAATTTAACTTAATCTAGGGCAGTGCTGTTAATCTGAGTCTGAAAGAAACTATGGAATCTGTTAAAATTAGAGTGGAACTCACCAGGCAGGGACAGATTACTTTTGGCTTACTCACTAGTATCCACAATGCAAAAGACTTGTCCTGGGCTTCTCTGTAATGTACATAGCAATCCTAGATTTTATCAGAATAACTTTTGAGATTCACCTTTAATTATCTAGGGAAAGAAAAGGATATTACTGCCATTTGGACTAATTAAAGAGCCAGATATTTTTACTCAGATATAGGCAGACATATTGTATCATGACCTTTCATATTTCCTGACAACTATTTTTATTTTTACTATCTCAAAATTATATTAAGTGATGAAAAGAAACTTTTCTGATATCTCTTACCTGTAAATTTATCTTTAACTTTCTTCAAACAGCTGGTGAAAAATGGTAGCTTTATTTGTTCTACCCCCAAAGGAGTATAATATCAGGTTACAACAACCCATCCCATACTTTTCCACTGTATGTCGGTACTGTATTATAACAGTAGTCCACTGTGAATCTCAGTGGCAGTGCCTGGGGGAACACAGGAAACAATAGTATTTACTCATTTGGCATGATGATCAGAAAAGTGTGTACACAGACATGTCAATTCAGGATTTTTACCCACATAACCCTCCATCTAAGGAATTTGTATCTGAGCATTACAAGGGGTAAAATACACCCATATTACTCTTCTGTTGTGTAAACATCAACTGTATCATAATGGAATGTGAATGTGACTCATAGTAGCTGCACCTGGGGAGAACAAAATCCCATCTGTGCATTCACCCACTTGGCAGATAAATGGCAAGTTGTGTACAAGAGCTCCAAAGCACCAATAGGGGTTTTATCCATTAAATGCTCATTGCTAAATTTCTATGCATTTAAGCTTTGTTTTTCAAAAAAGGTTTCTTTAGATTTTTTGGAAAGAATTATCCCAATTCAGTACAATGGCACATGAAAAACCAGATTTTCAGGTTTTAAGGAGGTCAAAAGTGAATCATCAGATCATCCATGCATGGATAATGAAGATCATAATGATTTTGACATTGGCCATGTGAGACAAAGTTCCTGGGCAAGTGAAATGGAGCGATACACAGTGAATGTAGAACTACTTGATTCAGATGATGAACAAAGGAGCAATGTAAGTACATACTTGACTAGTTGAAATGGTGAAAATTTTCATACAACTAAATGGAATGATCCAATGTTAGAAATAGGTCCAAAAATATACTGAGGATATTGGCAAGGGTGAAACCTATTGGACACAATCCCAGCACTGCCACTCAATGTTGGCAATCACTTAAACCAGATGAAATGCTACAAGATGTTGTGAAATACAAGTAAAATAGTCTGTATGTACCAATAGGCATACTCAACAATGCATTTATTATGACACCTCACTAGCTGAACTGAAAGCATTCATAGGTATGATGTACCTAACAGGGCTTTCTCATGGCAATCACAGGAATGTAAAAGACTGATAGAAAAATGAAGGGTGTGGGCTTCAGGTTTGTAGAATAATGATGACAGTGATGAGATTTGGTTCTCTTCAAAATTGCCTGAGGTTTGATGACAAAACCATCTTTCAAGAAAGCAAAACAAACATAATCTTGCTGCTATCCACTCACTGTTTGAGATATTTGTGGGTAATTGGCACACAATTTACAAACCATCCAAATACATGACTATTGTTCAAATATTTGCAGCATTCAGATTTCCTGTAGCTTTGGGGAGTATGTGCAAAAAACCCTTCAAAATATGGCATGAAAATGTATGCTTTGATGTGAAGACTCATTATGCTATCAATTTAGAAATTTATCCTGGAACTCAGCCACCATGTCATTATTCATATATTAATAAAATTAATTATCTTGTGAGCACACTTGTTGCTCCCTTCACCTAAACTTATCAGAATGTAACATTTGGCAATTGGTTTACAAGTTTCCAATTGATGTCACTTTTGTTTAACTGAGTACAAGTTGACCAGCACAGGACATATATGTAGGAAAAGAACAGAAATTCCAAAGAAAATGTTGCAATTTCAAAACTGAGAATTGTGTAGTACAATCTTTGGATTTCAGAAAGATATAATATTGGCCTCAAATATGAAATAAAAACAAACTGGTACCACTGATGTCAACATTTCATCATGATGGAAATATTGATAGGGAATACTCAAAAACACAAAAGCCTGAGAAGAAAACTTTCTACAACAAAACAAAAGGCAGAGTATAAGCTGTTGATAAGCTATGCAGCAACTATGATGTCACTTGAATCACAAAGTGATTGTTTGTATTTTATATCATGGTTGTGTCTTATACTTATAAGAAATCATTTACAGCAGAGGAAAAGCAAATATTTCTGCTAGGGAACTATGCAAAAAAATTTGTGGAGCACAATGTTGAGGTGACAGGTGAACAGGAAGGTGCAGCATCACAATATACAATACTATACAATACTACTATGCAATGGGAAAACCAAACAGATGACAATTGTGCCCTACAAGAAAGAACAGGAAAACAAAACATATGGGCTATCAATGTAAGTGATACTTTTGTATGGAAAATGCGGTTTTCATGTGTGAAGACTGCCTTCCTTGTGCAATTGAAGCAAAAATTATTTTTATGATAGACTTTTGTTGGTATTTACATTGTATTTCACATAGATTTTAAAATTTATTTATATATTAATTGGTATATTTTAGGTACACAATACATTTGCATTTATCATTGGGTATTTGTACCTGAACATGATGTATCTTAGTTCTTATTTTTTCCCCATTACCTATATGCCCTTCACCCCCACCACCCTTCCCTATTTACACAGACTTTGTTTCCATTTTTTTTTCTTTCTCATAATTTTTCCTTTCCTTTCTTCCCGTTCCCCTTCCCCTCCCACCACCCCTCCACCTTTGGACCTTTTCCTATTTCAAATTTTCAATTGTTCATTTTAATCATTTTCATCCTTATTGAGGCCATAATCTTAAGTGAAATAAATAGGACACATATGTGTAAATACCAAATAGTATCTCTAGTGTGAGAAACTGAAAGTGTAAATAAGGATGAAAATGATTACATAGGTTTTTATTCCTGATGTTATCTTTAGGTTTCATAGGCAAGTAAACATCTGTTGTGAAAATGTTGATATCTATTCAAAGCATTGATTACATATTTGATATTTTATTAATATCTTATTTTCCAGCTAATTGCATGTGCTGTCAGTGTAAGCAAGGCATGTGCAGGGAACATGTAGTTGTCATGTGTGAAGACTGTCTTGGGTGTGACAATTGATGCAAAGATTATTTTGTTTTAGAGTTCTACTGGTATTTTCATTGTAGTTCATATACGAAATTATTTCTGATGTTATCTGTCAGATTTTGTAAGCAGTTACACAGCTGATATGAAAATGGTAATGTTTATACTAAATGTGCAATACGTATTAAAAATTTAATACTTTATTTTATTGGTAATTTATGTTCCTATTAACTACACATTATATAATATAATTATAACCTCGACAAAATAGTGAGACCAGCAAGATGTCAAGGATGTCCCACAATATGCCAGGAAAGTAAAACACATGTGCTGTCTGTGTAAGCAATATGTGTGTATGGAATGTACCATTATCATGTGTGAAGACTGCCTTGGGTGTGATTGAAGCAAAGATTACTTTTTTGTAGAGTTCTATTGGTATTTACTTTGTACTTCATATAGGAACTGTTCTTGTTTTTATAGGAAATGTTGTTATTTTTTAGGCTTTGTGAACCAAAAAAATTTGATGCGGAAAAATTTGATGCTTTTTTATAAATATTCAAAAATA